AAATGTATAATTGCAAAAAAATATCTGAGTAAAGAAAGAAATATTTTGTAATTTTGCTTAAAAGGGACCTATCATGCAAAATGCACTTTTGTACGTCTTTATACATGAATATGTGTCCCCGGTGTTCCAGGGAACTCACCAAGTGTCAGAAAACACAACCCTCTCTATTTTCCTCCATACCCAAATCTCTAAAAACGGGGCAGCAACGGATCTGATAAAAACTGATCCAGATTTGAACATTCCTCTGATGTCAGGACGGCGGAGCTGACCTATCAGGGGAATGAGAGGTTGCCGTGGCATGGTAACAGCATGGTAACAGCATGGTAACATGACGCTCGTAACTCGGCCCCCTCCTTTGCAGGGGGGCATGGTCAGCTGCAGCGCATGCAAAGACAGGGTGGAGGAGAGCAAAATAGAGCAAAATGAGGCATGGCTAAAATGCATGATCTGTTTGGTATTTTGAAAAAGAAAACGTATAAATATGCCTTATATAGGTATGGTCCTACAATATATTATTCAAATATAGCATGATAGGTCCACTTTAATTTAACCACTAATTTACATTGATAAACTGAAACAACACAGGTATTGACTATCCTATTAACCCTTAGATGCACGAGTGACTGGACCCTACACTCTTCCATAAGGGGGTCTAAAAGGACCCGTATTATTGTGTTTTTATGCCATTTTTGTCATCTTGGTTAAGAAAAATCACTTATTTTGGTTCACATTAGAAATATTTTATATTTAGACATTTCTTTTACATTTTGAGAAAAAAGGTTTTGAACATATTGTCCCAAAGATCTCCGCTATTCTGAGACCCTCACAGTATTCTAGTCCCTTTTCAAAACTTATTCTCTCACTCTTCTCCTCTTGTCTACTCACAGCCCCCCCCCCATTAATCCATGCCGGTTGATCAAGTTTGATAGTCCTATACCCCCCACCCTAACCTTCCCTTATATTGTAAAGCGATTTTGAGTCCTTGAAAAGCCCTATACTGTAGCTATGTCAGATTGACAATAAAGAACCTTGAACCTATACAAATATAATGTATTACTTAGTGGGAATGCTGATACAGCATTCCCACTATATGTTATTCTACGGACAACATTTGTATTATTCCGCCGGAATTTTGCACCTCTTCTCCTCCTGCATTCAACATCGCAGAAACTCCGTTCAAACATCAAAACGTTCAGCTCGGTCGGGAATCGATGGCTATCATTTGGATTATTCATAATTTTCATAATTCCAGAGATACATCCCATAATTCATCACATTTTTAACCATTGAAGTCAAAGGAGAAAATCTTCAGACTTCAACAAATCTTCATGCGACTTCAACTGCTAACTGTTCATTCATACTTTCACTCAGAGACCTCATTCCAACTTAAAAATGTTACACATCTTTCTGACATTCTTCGTGTAACACAACTTTTAAATCTGATTCTTACTTTTAGAGATATTAAACATTGTTCAGACCTTGGTAAAGAGGCTTTCTTCAGATTTTAACATTAACTAGAGTGTGTGATGTCACAGCTAGAGGGTAGGAAATCTTGAAATTTGCCTTCATATTTATTTTTAAAACTGCCATAATTCCCAAACCCTACATTCCTGAGACATAATTTTTCATGACAAACGTAGGAAAACATCTCGTAGCTTGAAAAATGACAAATAATTAAGCAAAAATAATTAAACAAAATGCCACTTGAGGGCATGAAGTGACAAAAACTTTCAACATGTCTCCATTAAAACCCATTGTAATTTCAGGCTGATATTTCCTCACAGCAGCAGCTTTAGTTAAACTGCCAAAAAGGCCACATTATTAACCCGAAAGTACACAAAAATTACACTTCAGATACTCAACTTCCTTGACATGCTTCACGTTTTGAAATTTCACAGATATCTGTTACGGTTCTTCCACAAAACGTTCATATGTAAGAGGTTCATCTCTCATTCAGAACAATGCAAACCTTTGATCTCCACAGAGCTCGTTAGCTCAACTATAAACACCTGTGTAATGGTACATGATGATGTCATCACTCTCTCTCTCTCTCTGTCTCTCTCTCTGGCCCAGGCTCCACGGGAACGCATACGGCAAAACGCATAGGATTAATGCAAACGCCAAAAAGCTTCCGTCCACATGCAATATACACCGGATAGTGTCTGCCCACACGAGACAGCTCCGTTTACATCCAACCGCTGGAAAAGCTGCAGTACATATGCCGAGCCTGTACGTGGCGCTGTAACTTCCTCCACAAAAGCAGCAACTTCCTCCACAAAAGCAGCGAAGAAGAATGGTTGTCATGGCTGCACTTCTGTTTATTCTCCGCGGTGGGGGCCGAGGGAACCGGGCAGAGTTTTTCGCTGGTCAACGTATGTTAAAGTTGAAATCTTCCGGACAAAATTATAAAAGTGCCGATCAAAGGTCTTCTTTGTTATTTATTGAGCTTTAAAACAAATGAATAACGACTCTATATAATGATATATAATAAGAAAATACACGGAGCCTCTCTCTTTCCTCTCTTCTGACAGCGTCAGCGTCTGTCTCATGCAGCAGCTGATCCAGTAATGAGTGACCCGACAGTAAAAATAAACATATTTATAACTAGTTTAGTTTGAGAGGTAATTAAAATAGCTAAGGGTGATGATCTGACTTGAAGTGTGTGTTTTGCTCTCGCTGCATCACAGCTGGAGGAGCTGCGTGTCTCCGTCCTGTCAGATTAGACTTCACTCGCGTTTATGTCCATATCGAGATAAAGATAAATAATCTGAATTCAGTGTGCAGTGTACTTTTGCGGGGGTGAGCAGCAGAGGTGGGGAGAGGCGGGGCTATTGCGTCGTCATTATCAGAAACGGATGACCGTATAGGCGACCCCACGGCCCCTGTTGGACCCCCCAGAGCGCTCCGTTCCCAGATCTATCCACCTTTGGACCCGTTGTCGTTTGCAGGGTCCGTTTCTACCGTTCCGTTACGGCGTCGTCGAGCTTAGAGGGCTATACGCAAGAGAAATATGCGGATACAACCTGTTTTCGTTCCCGTGGAGCCAAGGCCTCTGTG